TACCGTCCCAGGTATAAGAGTTAGCCGGCGATGACCGCTAAGGTTTTCCCGCGCGGTCACAAGGCTTTTATTGAGGGGGCTATTGCACCCAACTTTTTTCAAGATTTTGGCAATTGAAACCAAGTTGTTCCACGTTTATAAATATATGGTAGCTCTGAAAAGAGCTGGTGTTACTATTCATGTGTGCAGCATTTAACTGCGAATAAAAATGATTTCGGTCTCCTTTTATACCTTCCTAGAAAAGAGTTCGGCTCCAAGCAAGTTTCTGATTGGTTGAAGCTCTTGGAGTAGGGATTGAAAATTATGGCAAACGTATAAAAAGTCTCTCATTAGCTCCACCGATAATACTTTTCTTAACATAAGGCGTAGGCGCAGTTCAGCTGTACGGACTACGATTATTATTGGAGCGACATTTAATTGACTATAGGTATTCATCCTGCAGTTATTTTTGCAGCTCTCTGACCCACTAGGATACGGTATTTATGTTCATTTTATCATAACATTCATATATTGCAAGCGTTACAAATATTTTTCATAATATTTGTTCAATATTTTAAATTTTGTATACATTTGTATAATACATTTCACGTATTTCTTTGTGTAGTTTCAGTAAATCTAGTTGTAGCATCATGAAAATTAACGCAATTAATATTATAGATATTTTGATAAAAAATTATAATTATGAAAATAATAATTCTGCACGAACTGCTACGAATGCAAAAGAATTTGAATTGGCCCAAAATATTATAGATTTGATTGACAGGTGTAAGCAGGCTGCATATACAGATGTCGAAACATTTCAGGAATTAGTATTTGACGGAAATTCTGGTCACTCAAAATTTACATCATTTGATTACGACGATGAAAATGAATTGCAAGAACCAACAACGTCCTCGTCAATAGCTACTGTGGATGAGAAATCTTCTACTTCACCCGATGACAATCCTGAAGAAAAAGAGAAAGAAAATGTAGATCTGGAATATAAGCAAAAAGCTGTTAATTTTTGGAAGAGTGGAAAGAAAGGGAGATTGGCCTTTAAAACCGTGCAGAAGAGGTATCGAAAGTTATCAACGGTTGGACAGTTGTATAGATGGGAAAAACATGTAAATATAGGTGGAAGCCGAATTAATAAATTAAAACTGCTTGCACAAAAAACAATAGCACGTTTCATTGAAATGAGGAATCGAAAGATACCAATACACGACATAGATTTACGACGATGGGCACTACAGGAAAACGAAATTGTTAATTTACCGGGATTTCAAGCATCATACCACTGGGTCTGGAACATTAAACATAAATACAATATTGTATCGAGGAAAATAACAAAACTAGTCACGCGAAATTATACAAACAATTTATCAGAAATAAATGCAGCTGCTGACAATTTTGTACAGCATGTAAAACAACATTTTGAATTTTATGGAAAAGAAAATATTTTTAATACTGACCAAAGCGGATTTCACGCTTTGTCATGGAAAGGAGAAAATCAAACAGAAAGTGCTGTTCAATCAGTGTCATCAATGACACATAGTTATACCATCCAGCCGACAGTTTCAGCTGATGGTAAACTGCAATCTCCACTCTTCCTTGTCCTAAAAGAAACAGGTGGCCAATTAGGACCACGTGTACAACAGACGACGTTTACAGCTCCTAACATCGTTATCGGGGCTTCATCATCAGGAAAACTGACGAAAGAATTACTGAAAATATGGTTAGAAAAAGCGTTCCTCCCGATCATCAAAGAAAGGGCAATACTGATTTTAGATTCATGGAGCGGCTATGATGAAAATCTAATTTAAAGTATTGCCCCAGCAGAAATAAATTTAGAAATTTTAAAAATCCCCAAAAACACGACAGGGTTAATTCAACCATTAGATGTTTACGGTTTTCGCGTCTGGAAAAATTTCGTAAGAAAAATATCAGATTTAGTCATAACTTTAAATTTAAATATAAATTTACATGCCCGTGACACCATTATAAAAATTCAGTCGCTTACACACAACCAACTATCAGCACCTCGATACATAAAACTGTTCCAGTATGCATGGTTTCGATGCGGCTATGTTGACGAGAGGCCAGGAGAATTCGAAAACCCTGTGGAGTTCTGCTTCACCAAGACGTCAAGCATAATATGCAATCGTTGCAATAGTGTTGTTTGCATAAGATGTTCGTGGTGTCAGGAGCACTTATGTTTCAATCATTTTTTAATAGAATTCCATTATTGCAATCAGTATATTGAATAAATACTTTCATGACTTTCAGCTTTCTAAAATTTCAGGTACCAATATTAAAACCAGCTCTTTTCAGAGCTACCATATATTTATAAACGTGGAACAACTTGGTTTCAATTGCCAAAATCTTGAAAAAAGTTGGGTGCAATAGCCCCCTCAATAAAAGCCTTGTGACCGCGCGGGAAAACCTTAGCGGTCATCGCCGGCTAACTCTTATACCTGGGACGGTAAT